GTACATAAGCATTTTGAGTACAAATAGAGAGAATACCTGACACAACAGTCTCGGTATTCTGCACGTCTCCCGGTACTAGGGAGAACACTCGGCCCTGCCTCATGGGCTCTTTCCTGGTGGCTTTGGGGTTCGGTTTTGGTGCAACAGTTGATGCTGCCACACTTGGTGCAGCTTTACTATTGGCTTGTAGAGCAGAGGGGCAGTCTTTAACCATGTGGCCCACCTTACCACACCTGTAATAGGCTCCGAATATTTTGTAACAGACCCCTTTGTGTTTCTTGCCACACTTGGAACAGGGTGGTATGAAACCACTCCCTTGGCTGGGGCTAGTTGTTGACCCCGTATTCTGTTTCTTGTTCAATGGGTTATGCTTGCCTTTCTTAAATTTGAAACCCAGCCTCTTACCTCGCCATTTAGGCGCTGGTGTTTCAGTTTTCAGTGCCTCGATGTTCGATTCAGCCATCAAAGCTCGGTCAAGGACATTTACATAATTCGGTAGCTTTAAAACATTAATCCTGTCCAGTATTACAACATTAAGGCTGCCTTCAAACTTTCTGGCCTTCTTATAATCAGTGTCCACCATGTGTGGTGCATATCTAGCAAGCTCGGTGAACTTTGTTTCATATTCAGCAACGGACATTGTGCCCTGTCTCAGCTGTTCAAACTCAGTCACTTTTTTGTCCCTGACACACTGAGGGAAGTACTTTTCAAAGAAGGCTCTTTTAAATTGAGCCCAAGTCATAACAGTGTTGTCACCACGGATAAGCATCCACCACCTTCTAGCCTTTTCTTGTAAGGTGAAGGTAGCTAACAGTACTTTATGTGCTTCAGAGCACGGAAACACCTCGAATAACTTTTCAGTCTCAAGAACCCATGCTTCAACTTTTAACGGTTCAAGGCCTCCCTGAAAGGATGGCGGTTTCATTTTGCTGAACTTCTGGGTGAGAGCAATTATATCCCCATCATTAACATTCACATTCTGTTTCGGCTGTACCGGAGGAGGAGGTGGGGGCTGCTGATTCTATTGTTGATCTAGTCTTTCAGTTATTAGTTCCATCATTCTCTCCAGTCTTGCCATTCCAGCCTCAGAGGATGAGGATTCAGATTCATTTGCAGTTCTTGTATTATCCATTTCATTATAAGCAGTTATATCAATTATAAACATAAGCAGTTGCATACTTAAACAGTTTATCACATTAGCATATATTCAGTCATGTCATAGTCACACATACTTTAACAAGTTCATGCAATGCCCTAATCGCTTTTCTAGGACATCCTATAGCTCATTTGGACACGTGTGTGTGGTATAACTCGTGGTAAGTATCGCTCTGATACCACTCTGTCACGACCCAAACCCGTCCCTATGGGTTTAGCATCGTAACCGGCCAATAATCCGAGATTACCGAAGGCCTGCTTAACAGTAATATAGTGAAACAGAGTACACGGGCCTGGCGGAAACCAATACAGTAAATAAACAATGTCCAATGAGCTGTGACAGTCTGAATGCCAAAAAGACTTTTCATGTATACAAATGCAAAGTGCAGAACAGTATGTACAACATTTATAATCATTCAGATCAGGGACCTAATCCCTATTAAACAGTACAGTAACAGTATATACAGTCTACAAAACGGTTACAGAGACAGACGGGGGAAAATTAAAACACCCCTAAGCCATAGCTTAACAGGCTCGGAACCTCGCAGTGAGGCACAGTGGTTGGCTTGACAAAAAGGGAGTCTAACCCACGCTCCTAGCTCCGGTCTGGTGCCTATACACCTACATATATATATAAGCAGTGAGCTAAAGCCCAGTGAATAACATAATGCGTAAAGAGGTTTAGAATGAATGTCCTTACTGTAGTGAAAATAGTTCATTAAATCAGTATTTCAGTCGTTCAGTCAGTACAGTCATATGTGGTACATCCATTAGCATAACAATACAGTAAACAGTAGGTCTTGAAAGACCAAACAGTCAATGATGGCCATCAATCAGTAAACAATAGTGGTTCCAACAAGGGAACTGACATAGATCTCTGTAACAGTAACAGTCAGTAACAGTAGTTGCTAAGGATGCCACAATACAGTTCAGAATAGAGGACATACATTCATTCTATTAACAGTATCAATTCAGAAACAGTACAGTTCAATTGTTCAGAAGATAATCATTTTTGAACATATCTTTACACAGTTGTTACTTACAGAGATCTGGGCTACAGTAAAGCTAGAGCGCGTCTCGAGTCGCCAACCCTACACAGTATACAGGTTGAACACACACTAAGCTACACAGTTGAAAAAATAATAATTTAATCCCTAATTTGCCTCGGTGTGGTTCTACATCTATATCCTCATTAAGATGTCTTAAACTAGGCCTAAGAATGCCTAGGATGAAATGAGGATGCAAAGAGGCACTTTAAAAGCATTTTCAGAATTTTCAGAAAATAGGGGTCCCGCTCGAGCGTAGGTTAATCCGCTTGAGCGGACATGCAGACAAAGGTTTCGGCTCGAGCGCAGACTCAACCGCTCGAGCTTACTTCAAAACAGTCAAAAGTGCTGGATAGGTGAAATTCACGCTCGATTGGGCGCTTGACACTCGCTTGAGCGTAAAACACAAGGTCCCGCTCGAGCGTAAATTACGCCGCTCGAGCTGACTCAAAAATAGAACAAAATGCTGAGAGCACGATTTCCACGCTCGAGCGCCAGTCACCCCGCTCGAGTGCGAGTTCAAAATCTGGAATTCCCAGATTCGAACCTCAAGCTCAAATTCAACTTTCAAACACCAAATTCGATCCTCTTGGGCTCATTTTCCGGAAAACACTTCAAAACTCATAGTTAAACAGGATTCAAAGCTCAATTTGTAAAATCAAAGCCCAAAGGAAGATCAATTAAACTCATTTTCAAACCAAATTTCAAGAACATAATCCAAGTATGACATGCATGAGTTAAAACCACTTCAAAGCTTCAATGCTAGCTCCAATGAGCCAATTCTTTTCAAAACAAGATGAAATCATGGACTTAAACATAATATGAACATGCATGTAACACTTTGCCATGAAAACAACTTAAAACTCAACAATCCAAACATGCATACATGAATTAAGCTATAATTCAACATGCTAGAACTAAATTATGACTTAGCTCCTCAATTAGACATGAACCATGCAAGAATCAACTTAAAGACACAATTAAGAGGATAAAATTCATACCTAGGTTCCTTAAATACAAGTCTAGAGGCTCAAGTAGGCAAATCTCCTACAATTTCTTCCAATTTCCAAGCAAATCAACAAGTTGAACTCAAACTCTCACTTCCTCTCTCTCTTGGTCAGTTATGGCTCAAGGAAATGAGCTGAAGAAATGTTTTGTTGAATGATTAATAAGGCTCAAATATGTTATAATAAGGCCCACTCACAATGTTATTTTCGTAAATAAGGCAACTCTTGTAATTTAGCACTATTTAATCTAATTTAATCATACCAATTCAGTTTTCAGATAAATACACCATAAAATCACATTAATTCTAAGGATCATGAAACACTAATCAATTTCTGGTTCGGCTGCCGATAAGGCCTTCAATTTGCAATTTAACCATAAAAACATGAACAGATAATCAAGCAGGCAACAGATAAGAATGCAATATAACAGATATACTTAATCAATTCAGTTTCAGATTCCAGTCAGTCAGTTCAGTAGTTCAATCGGTTCAATTACCAATCATAATCAGTCTCAATTTAGCAGTAAGCAGTAATCGATCAGTGATCCGTGATGAGGGTTGTTACACATCCTGTCGAAAAAGTTTAAAGCCCCAACATTTACGTTGTATGTTAGTAAGTCTGACCCAATAGACCACATTCGCCATTACAAGCAGGCAATAACGTTGCACGCTGATGATGAAGCACTTATGTGTCGCATATTAACAAGCAGCTTAGGTCCGCTGGTAGTTCGGTGGTATTACAAACTTGAACCAACCTCGGTCAAGAGTTTTCACCTGCTCCAAAAATCTTTCCGGGCAAGATTTATCACCAACAAGGTCCAACCTAAGCAAGCCGACTCGCTCTGGGCAATGCAAATTAAGCCAGCAGAAACCCTCCGCAAATATTCGGCGCGTTATTGGAAGTGTTTCAATTTGGTTGACGATGTCTATAATGACTCCATGGCCATTACCGCCTTCAAGATGGGCTTGTAACCCAACAGTCCGCTTCGAAGCTCATTAACTAGACGACCTCCTAAAATAGTGTGGGCTTTAATGAAGAAGGTTGAAGAGTGTTGCAAAGTGGAAGATGACGCTCTCCGCGTCAAAGCCGAACAGAAGGTGGCAGAGATGGCTGCACCTATCTTGGTACAGTGGATAAGCATAGCCCCACCAAAAAGGAGCCCCGAGTGTCTAGGCAAATCAAAACGAGAAAGTCGTCACGAGCCACGCCGATCGAGCGAGCAATATCAAGTAAACTGAGAAATAGCAGACGCCCCAGGTGGTCTGAGAAGAAATATACTCAGTTGACCTAGCCAATCAGCAAGATACTTTCCAAAGTCCAGCATCAGCCTTTCTTTAAATGGCCGGCCAAGAAGATTGGACCACCCAACACAAGACGCAGGGATCGATGATGTGAATACCACAAAGACCATGGGCATGAAACAAAAAAATGCTACGCCTTGAAGGACCACCTTGAGGAGTTGGTGTAGAATGGTCGACTCCTCCAATACCTTCCCCACAAGATCACTTGACCTAACGCAATGGATTTATGCCAAGACTCACCTCTGATGGGCACCATTCATATGATATACTGTCTTTTGACGCCGACCGGCTTCCATACAATCCAAGTATCACGTCTATCCAAGCTGTCTACACCAGCCAAACGGCCCCATCAGACCGGCAAGATTAGCTTCGATGACGCATATCTGGAGGGGTTGATCCTTCCCCACGACGATGCTCTTGTTATCAAGTTGCGAATTAACAAATTCGCTGTCAAACGCATTCTAGTTGATCAGGGGAGCACATCATAAATAATGTACTATAAGATGTTCTTGAAGCTCGACTTCATGGATTCAAATCTACTACCGTCAGCATACCCCTTATTTGGCTTCAAGGTGAATCCAGAATACCCTCTCGGCAAGGTCACGGTTGCGATACGTACAGGCACTAAGACCCTCGATATGGAGTTTCTGGTCGTTAAACTACCATCGTCGTATAATATCATCATGAGAAGAACTTGGCTACATGCGATACAGGCCGTATCGAGCACCTATCACCAGCTACTCCGCTTCCCAACACAACATGGCATTAAGCAAATTCGAGGCTCTCAGAAGTCGGCAAAGGATTGCTACCTTACTACTTCCGACAAGAAGTCAAAGGAGCTGGAGGTTAATTCAATTGAAATCCTAGACCGGGAGAACCTCGAGGATGTTAGGAAACTCCCCATTGATAAGGCAATTGAGAATCTCGTGCAGATTCAATTTGGTCATGAACCAAATATATTCTTCCTGATCGGCGCCTGTCTGAATTTCAACGAACGTCAGGAGTTAATTTCATTCCTAGTCAATAATAGTAATGTATTCGCCTGGACGCCTTATGAAATGCCAGGAGTAGACCCCATCATAGTACAACACCGTTTGAACGTGGACCTAAAGGTTAAGCCCATCATCCAGAAGAGTCGTCAATCGGCAGCCGAGCATACTTCGGCCATTGTCGAAGAAGTTGACAAGCTTCTTGAGGCCAGTGCAATCCGCGAAGTGAATTACCCCACCTGGTTGTCCAACACTGTTGTTGTGAAGAAGAAAAATGGGTCTTGGGGCGTCTGCATGGACTTCACGAACCTGAATAAGGCCTGTCCCAAGGATTGCTTCCCCTCCCATGAATCAACCGGTTAGTGGATAGAACTGCGCATCATCAGCGTATGAGCTTCTTGGATACATACAGGGGATATCATCAAATAGTCATGCATCCTGAGGATCAAGAAAAAACGGCATTCCTCACCTCACCCCGTAGGGCACTTATTGTTACAAAGTCATGCCTTTCGGCTTGAAAAATGCCAGGGCAACTTATCAAAGGCTTGTCACTACCATGTTTAAGGAGCAACTCGGTCGTACCATGGAGGTGTACATTGATGATATGGTAGTGAAGTCCAAAGAGAAGCATGACCACTTAGCTGACTTGTTTACAACCTTCAACATCCTCAGGAAATACAGTATGAAACTTAATGCCTCAAAGTGTGCATTCAGTATCGGATCTGGAACATTCATGGGCTATATTGTGAACTATCGTGGAACAGAGGCCAATTCGAAACAAATTACAGCAATCTTGTAACTCGGCTCCCCTCAGTCAGTAAAAGAAGTACAGAAGTTGATGAGAATGGCCGCGGCCCTCAACATATTCATTAGCCGTTCTTCAAATCGTTGCCGACTATTTTTTCAGACCCTTCGACAAAGGAAAGTTTTCATTTGGACCCCCGAGTGCCAGATAGCCTTAGATGGCTTAAAAGCTTATCTCTGTTCAACACCGCTCTTGACAACTCTATCGCCGGCCAACACACTCATCGTATATCTTGCGGTCTTAGATCGTGCAGTCAGCGCCATATTACTCAAAGAAGAGCTTGGAGAGCAACGGCCTATTTTTTACGTTAGTAAAGCAATGGTGGATGCCAAGACACAATACCTACCACTGGAAAAGCTAATTTTGGCCCTAGTAGTTGCTGCCAGAAAGTTAATGCACTATTTCCAGGCCCATACAATAACTGTGATGACGGACTACCCTCTCCAAACAATACTTCGTAGTGCGGAATCATCAGGGTGCATCTCCAAATGGGCGTTAAAACTCGGCCAATATGACATTCAATTCTTTTCCAGAACGGCTAGCAAGGGGCAGGTTTTTGCCAACTTTGTTACTGAATTTATTGGCTGTCACGCCAACTTTAAGCAAGAGCAACCAGCCTTCCAACCTTAACAGGAGTGAAGGATGTATGTTGGAGATATTTGGCAGATGTACTGCGATGGTTCATCCAACAAATGTAGTTGGGGGCTGGAGTAGTGATTATGACTCCCGAGGGTGGCGTAATCGAGCAAGCGGTCAAGCTCGATTTTGACGCACCAAATAACAAAGCCAAATATGAGGCTTTGCTTATCGACCTTCGTAACGCGCATCGACTCGGTGCCAAGCGATTACAAGTTTTCTGCGATTCAAAGTTGGTTATCAATCAACTGAAGGGGGAGTATGTAGCTAGGGACGACCAAATGGCAACATACATGAAAACGACAAACTCATTACTCGTGAAGTTTGACCACCATGACCTGAATCAAATTACTCGCAACCAAAATACCCATGCAGATTGTCACGACCCAAGCCCGCCCCTATAGGTTTCGCATCGTAACTGGGTAGTAATCCTTGTATTACCGAGGGCCTCTGAACTGATTAACAAAATTAAGGGGCTAGCAGAAGCAAATACATAAATAAAGTTGTCCAATGAGTTGTGTAGACTTACATGAAGCAGAATATTTAAACTTTATATTCATAACCAAAAATCATTTTCACATTATACCCACACACTTAGCTATAACATCTTGAGTACAATCAACAAAAATATACAAGTCTCATATACATAAATAACCAGAGCTCAAAACACGTGACACTTCAGGAACCTCTATGTGAGGCACAATGGTTGGCTGACAACAGAACACAGATCCAGACAAAAGCCTTCTGGCTCGATCTCCAGAATGCCCACCTATACATATATATATATACACACAGTGAGGTAAAGCCCAGTGAATAATATCAATGTAAAGAGGTTAGTGAACGAATTTCGAACATTTCATAATCATAAAATAGATCATAACATAATCATCCTCATATCCGAACATAATAATGGTACATCCCATAGAACACATCACATATCGTTTTCCGACTAAAATAATCGGTTCCGGATACCGATTAAAAACATATCACCACAATGAAGTGGCTAACGAGATCTCGTACTCACATATATGTCATGGACCCGCATTTACATGCCATCTCCCATGACTTGGAACTATCTATGGATGCCATAATAGATTTCAAACATAGGACATTCGTTCACGTAAATAATCATTTCAGAAATCATGACTTAACATATCACATTTGGAACATAATTCATATAAACATATCTTTACAATAACGTTACTCACAGTAGGCTCCCATAAACGGTCAATCAATCTCCGGACGTTGACCTACAAACATAAAAGTACATAACACAAACATATCTTATCATTACACGGGTTCACATGGCCATTATGGCTTAGCTCTCTTACTTTAACTGCTTATTCATTCCATGCCACATAACTTCTTCATATTGCCCATATACTCGGATTCGACACATATTTTCTAATTCACTCTACATACATCGATTCTTAGCTCATGACTCTTCAATAACTCATAATTCATGCCAAATTATGCTCAGAAAAGGATGGGAACAAAAATATGCACACTGAATGCCTTTTGAAAATATGTTGAATTTGGCTTGGCTGCTCAAGCGTATCTTTGGTCGCTCGAGCGGACTGGTCTGCCTGTAAAAATACTGGATGGTCTCAATCTACACTCGAGCCACAACTCCTGCGCTCGAGCGGATCAACAATATACAAAGGGTTTGCTCGAGCATCCAAGTGGTCGCTCGAGCGAGATGTAATATCCTACAAAACTACTGGATGCACGAAATGTCTACTCGAGTGGCAAATCCCCCGCTCGAGCAACCTTCAAAAATTCTGGGTTTCCAAAACAGAGCTTTCAAATGCAAATTCAATGGCAAATTCATGCATGTCTTGTTCATAAACTTGGAAAACTTATTCATAAACATGAATATATGATTTTCACAAACTCTTTTTACTCAAAACTCATGAATTTACCAAAATTAGACCCAAAATTTTCATGCATGTAGAACATACAACTCTTATCTTCAAAATCCATGATGTTTGGCCAAATCGAGTTCTAAGCCCCATGCATGTAGCAAATTCCTTCTCAAAACATGAATTCAAGTGATGAAACATGGTGATTCTAACATGCATGTACCAAATAACTTACCATAATAATTTAGATGCTCAAAATCAAACTTAACATGTCAAAACTCTATATTTCCATGCATGTATGCCTCAAATTCATTCAAATTCTTTCCTTCCACTTCCAACACATGCAATTGAGCCTCAAACCTTTATGAATTATGCATGCATGTGACTTCTAGCTTTTAATTTCATCTCTAATGACATGAATGATGCTCAAACATGAGAGCTCTTGACAAATTCTTACATGCATGTATGACTTAGCAACATTTCCTTCATTCTAAGCTTATTTTATGCATTTAAATTCATAATCTTGAAGAAATCATATGCTAAATGACTTAAGTGCACAATCTAGAGGTTGCAATCTTACCTAAAGTCTTCAATTAGCTAGATACTTGTACAATCTTGAAGAATTCAAGCCAAAGCCTTCAATTTCTCTTCAATTCCTACACTTTCTCTCTCTATAATACAATCTCAGATTTTTGCGAAATCTCATGCTAAATGACTTAAGTGCACAATCTAGAGGTTGCAATCTTACCTAAAGTCTTCAATTAGCTAGATACTTGTACAATCTTGAAGAATTCAAGCCAAAGCCTTCAATTTCTCTTCAATTCCTACACTTTCTCTCTCTATAATACAATCTCAGATTTTTGCACTCAATAATGGGCAAAGATGAGCTCAAATGAGCTTAAGGGCTCATATATATAGTTATGATGCCATAATATATTAATTAAAACATAAGACTTTCCAAACAAAACTTAATTAATCAGACTGAATCAATTTGTAATAAAATTTGCCATAACATTCTAAAAATTCTAAATAACATATACATGTAACCAATTCCGGTTTCGGATGCCGATAAGGCTTTCAATTTTCATATCAAAGAAGATTTCACAAAAGATATTACTATGATTAACAGATAGAAAATCGAATAGCATGCAAAAATACACAATTAACATTTAATTATTTTAATCACTTGATTAACGTCCTTAATCACGGATTAGTAATTAATTTTGGATTGGGGTTGTTACACAGATGCTCTTGTTTGCTTGGTTTCTACCATTAACTAGGAGGTTAAGAGGACAATCAAGATGAGATTCGTCAGTGAGCCGAGTATTGATCTCCTGTATTCCGTTCGCATCAATGTTATTGACCTGGCGCCGAGTTGGATGAATCCCATTACCACCTTTTTATCTTCAGAGCAACTGCCCGCGGACCAGAAAGAGGCCCATAAGCTGGGGAACATGGCCCTACGCTACTATTTAGACCCTAGTGGAAAGCTCTACAAAAAAATCCCTCTCAAGGCCATATCTGGAACGTGTACACCTGGACTTGGTAGAAGATTTTTTTGCTGAAATACATGAAAGTAGTTGCGGCGCCCATTCTGGAGGGCATTCACTTGCCCACCGAGCCGTAACCCAGGGGTATTATTGGCCTACCATGCGGACTAATGCAGAGAACTACATAAAGAAGTGTGAGCAATGCCAAAAATTCTCTCCTTTGACTCATCTACCTGCAGAATAATTGAACTCTGTCACTAGTCCTTGGCCTTTTGCTCAATGGTGTCTATTGTGAGTTGTGCGATACATACGGCATGAGCTGTGTGACACATACGGCATTAGACCATACTTCTCCTCACCAGCCTATCCACAGAGAAACGGCCAAGCTAAGGCCTCCAATAAAGTGATCCTGGATGGAGTCAAAAAATGGTTAGAAAAGGCCAAGGGCAAGTGGGTTAAAGAAATGACTAGTGTACTTTGGGCCCATCGCACTACTCCAAGGCGACCTACCAGCGAAACACCCTTCGCCTTAGGTTTTGGCACTGAAGCTATTATTTCCCTTGAAATCGG